AAAAAAACATCTAATTTGCTTTCTCTCTTTAAATGTAGCGACTTTAGTCTTACCAATTAATTTTACTGAATACCTAGCGAAAAACTTCGAGATTTGAATGTAATGTACCAGTTGGTTATTGGTTAACTATTAGAATGCATGTCTGGTCCATTTCACAAAGAATCAAAAACTCATGCACTGAAAAAAAAAGAATATAATCTAATTTTGCATGACGAAAAAACACTCATATTTACACTTCAAAAGTAATCCAATTCAAAATTTGAATTGCAGTTCTTCCAAATATTCAAAATGTTTACCTTTGAAATATTCTTTAAGCCATAATTCATCATTCAGAAAAAAATTTGTAGAAAACAATAAGTTTGTAATGAAATATCGACTGCTTTCCTGATTTGAACTTTAAGATACTTTCATATTTTCCTTATGATTAAAAATGTTCCACCCGCATGATATTTCCTAGCATCCGTTAGGTTCATTTCAATTATGATTCATATACAGTTAATTTAAAACAGGGCATCAGCTAAAAAGCAAATAATAGAAACTTTTTAGAAATAATAACAACGATTGTGGAATATTTCTCATCGTTTCAATTCAAAAAATTTTTTCACAGAAAGAAGAGAAGTCATGACATCATTAAAACCAATCTCGTTTAACAAACGGTGATTTTTAAACCATGGTCTTCAAAATTTTCTGTATTATTTTTTTCTTAAAATCTGCGGAAGTTCACATCCGAAACAGAATGAAACTCCTTCATTTATGAAATATGGAATGTTTAGAAATATTTCGCTATACAATTATATTTCACAATTTTAAAACGGATTGGCAAAGAATATTTTATCCAATAAACTAATTCGAACATTTATTCGTTCCGAAACAAAGATATTTCATATAGCAGATACAAGACCTCAGAGGAAGGTATCCGGTGAAGTGATTACTGACTGCTATATTTAAGACTTTACAATTTTTTACTGGCATTAAAACATTTGTGACTGAGCTATTTTTGAGTGAAAAAAACTTAAAAGTAAATCAATAAATCTGTGATAATTCCGTTAAATCCATTAGCTTGGAAAATGCACCCTTTGATGATTATTTAGAAGTAACTTGATTTGACCTGAAATGATTCATAATACAGATGTCAAGCCATTTAGTATAGGGAAAACTTTTTTGTTATAAAGCCGTTTTATGTCATAAACCATAAATACATAAAATTCATTTAGATCCATTAATATTGACTTTGTGGAGATCATTCTTAGGGAATGTTTCCTAACTGTGATCTGAAATTGGTATAGACGAATGTGTTGAGAAGGATCTGCTGCCACGATTTTTATTCGCTGTTAACGAATTACGACACATAAGTATTAGTAATCTACACAAACAATATACTAATAATTTCTTAGAATTCATCTACGAGTGAAGAGAAAGAAATAACTTGATGAGAAAGTCAAGTAAAGGATTTAAATGAGTAAAGACCTGCCTGTCGAATGATCTTTACTTTTTACTTAGTTAAGTTTAACATAAAACTGAATGTTAGGTTAGGAAACCTCTACAGTGTGCATGCAGATTTGGGTTAAAATAAAAGAAACAGACTCTTTATTAAAAACTGTGACATTAAAGACAATGCAGATAAGCTCAGCTATGAATGGAAGATGGGTGGGTGTTGGGTATGGAACAGTTTCATATCTGTCCAAGGAATATTAAATTAAGACATCCTTTAAATTTAATACAACTGTATTCTGATATATCATTATAATTCGTTTTTTTTGTCGAATTATTATAATATGTCGAAAGTTATCTTGCAGGAAACTACCAGGATATAACGCAGATTTTAGGAATTTTTGCTCTCCATTACATGTATAAGTAGATACATAATTCAAGAAGAAGGAAAAAGACATTAGAATATTTGTCCAACGGCAAACAAGCAATCCTAGTTAATTTATTGTGTGATTATTAGGAATTGTTAGAAATCAAGTTAAGCAAGAATTCTTCAGTTGGGCTTCGTTCTTCAGCTTTTAATTCATTGATTTCCATTTTCATTCTAAGAAAAAAAAACAGGTCCATTATCTTCATTCTTTTTTTTTATAATTTGGCGGAATGTTCCCGATAAATAAATCGGAGAGGGAAGAACCTCACTACTCCTTCATGTGATCGTAATTTATTTGTATTGCTCGAATCAGAAACATGTCTTCCTCCTGCTATAAATTTAAAATCTACACGTTCTTCAGTTTGCGTATATTGAAATGTTGCTAACGTGTTTCTCCCTACATTCTAGTTATTTTAATTAATTGAAAAATTCCAAACTTTTATAGTTAATCACTCTTACCTTCACACTTGTCATACTCGGATTGTTTATAAATGAGCAAAAAAGAAAACAAAAGCACTCAAATAAGTCAAAAAACCAAAATTATTCTATTACTTAGTTGATGCATTTTAATATACTTTTCCGAACTAATCAACTAATACACACACACACACACATACACATACACACACACACATACACATACACACACACACACACACACACACACATGCAAGATTTGAAGCGCACTGATACATGTGACATGATGCCGTTGATGTCTTATGCCAGTGGCGGGATGATTCGTTCGCACTTTGCTTTCTCTACCACTTCTTGTATATTATTTTTGCGTGTTTAAATGGTTCATTACAGTTAATTTAGTCTTTGTGACATCAATGAGTTCCTTGTAATTGCTTTTCTCTAAAGGACAGTACCGTTTGGGCTATTTTCCTATTAAACTTGTCCTTTGCAACTTATTTGTTTACTGAAGTAGCTGCGCATTGCTTACGTTATAAAGATAACAGTATAGATAATTCGTGGAAACGAATAATAAATTGAATGTGTTACCTTTTGCAGATTTCCCAGACCTGTTGTCACAAAGCGCCGAATGCAGCTGTGCTGTTATTTGGTACTTTGTCACCCATTCCAGAAATCATCGCTTCTGACATGTTGAAATGTCACATAATTTTTGTTAAGCTTTGTTGTTGTTTTTGCATTCGACACTTTGAGATATCTAAAGCGCATCTAACTTTGGTGATAGCATTGCAGCATGCTTTCGAAATCTGAAATTGTAAATTATTACGTTATGAATGGACATATTAAAATTAGAGAAGTGATTAGTCTGAGATGATTTAAAATCAGTTCATGGCTTATCCAGAATTGCATTTGAATTATGCGTTGTTTTATTCGTGTTTTGTCCATAGAGATTTCCTTCTCAATATGACAAGTGAAACCGGAGTAGGGCTGGAAGTCCTCCAGACAGAACTAAATAATTTTGGAGGTTGAGAGTTGATGTTAATTGCTGTGAAAGATCAAAACACTTCTACATCTTGAAAAACTATGAATCGATCTAGTATTCTTTTTCTCCTTTCTTCTTTCTGCACTTGTTCAATACCTCAATTACACATTAATTACACAGAGTTCACTTTGATATTTTGGTAGATTACCTAGTGACCATTTGACCATTTCCTCGTCTAATTCCGCAATTACCCATCCATACATGTATATAAATCATTGTCGTATTTATTATTCTCGAAAAACATGTTTGCTTTGTTCGATCTGGAAGCAGATGAATGTAACTTGTTGTTTCTCCATGTCATCACTCTTTGCAGAAGTCGTTACTGTAGTGACATCCACCAAGATGGACAGGAGCAGAAATGTATACCTACCATTTAGTGCTAATGTTATAATTATTACTCCCTTTTCTACTGAAATATTTAGGATTGCATTATTTCACTGCAAAACTTGATTACTCCTTGTTTAGTTTAACTTTTAACACTAGCATCATCAAGCGTTAGAAGATTGAAAAACAAACTTTATTGAACTTATCGAGCTTTTTTTGTACATATGAAAAAAATCACAATTAACTGCTTTATTTGCATTTCCGATGAATTCAACATTAATTACCTATGTAACGAAAATTGAGTCTTCGAGACAACTATGAACTTCTCTGGTTTGACCTTGGATCCATTAGTTGATTTCATTTGAGTGTTTTGATTTCCAAATGGAGAAGATTCTGGTACAGCACTTCAACGTTTAAAATATAAAATGATCACCAAAGAATTAAATGGAGTAGAAGAGTGATTCAAGCCTGATGCATAACTCTGATAATTTAAGATAAATTACTGACTACGTCTAAATTACCATATTTAATTCTTAATGGACTTTTTTTTATCTTTATTTCTAGAAAGTATGCACCGTATTGTATTCCAGTTAGTTTTGAATATCTCAGTTGTTGCATTCATCTGTAATTGACAAAATGCGCTGCTGTCCATTGCGACGTTGAAAGAGTAAAAGTGAAAGTGCGTTTTTCAATTAGATAGAAATGAAAATTGATGCCGTACATAAATTATAATTGAGTGGTGAATTTTCATTCATTTTATGACAAAATAAACAGTTATGAGATTCGATCCAGCGACTTAAAAATTAATGAGAATGAGCGGAAAGGAAAGTGTTGAGGACATCATAAACCTTTTCGAGACAGTCCACCATCTTAATACATTGCTGCTGGATAAAGCCGCATTATGGGCAAGTCTGTCGCAGTGGTGAAATGTTTTAAAATTGCGCAAATAAGTTCAAAAAGAATGAAGTCAAAACAGTGTTCTATTAGAAAATTAAATGTATTAAAATTATTAAACACATAGAGTTCTTCTTTTGAGTTGTATGTGTTTTTTTTTTTTTTTTTCACAAATGCTCAATTTCTCATCTGACAATTGTAAATTATATAACTTTTTGAAAAGCTGAAATAAGTTCTGAAACAAGTGAAATTCGTGCGAACAGCAATAAGATCGAGCGATTTTTATTTGTTCACTTAGTGATAGGATAACAGAAGGCATATTTTTCCTTGTTGCCTAAGCAAAGAAAACGGCTAACATTGAACTCTCCTTTCTGCCTGCTTTTCATCTTTTTTCTCTCCATAAAGTATTTAGGCATTTTTGTAAAAATTTCTTGTAGTTTATGACAAAAAATTGGTAAATATGAGTTTCAGATGTTACCGATGCTAATAATTTCCCGTATTCTGTTGAAAATTTCCCAATTCATTTGTTCCGCTTTTGTGGTTTATTGCTTATATAATATAGGTCCACAATGGATGCTTACATTATCTTGTCTTCTAGTACCTCCTCTTGGTATGTTGCTTTTGGCTCATCTATTCATATTCTTTCTATTAAGTATTACATTGCGTTGTACAGACAAGCAAAAGAACGGTATCTGCCGAACTTGTCCTAAATAAATATGTGGAATTGTTATTGAGTTATGCAATTTTTCAAATTAGAAAAGATAATATGGGAAAGTGACTACATCTCAGCAACACTGAAATCATCGAGCATTCCTCCTCAGTAGGAATTCATATTCTGGTCTCGTTATTGTTTTGTTCTTTCAAGTTCAAACTCACTTTAATTAAGAGGTAAAAATTGAAGCTGAAAGGTTATTTATTCATATGATATATACAGTGATAAGTTCTCCGACAGAGATATTTACTTCAGGCACTTATTTGATACTGCGATCACCAAATCAAAAGAATCGATGCGATAGGTACTACAGTATGGTAGAAAGAAGCTGGCTGCGAGTTGAAATTACAATATGTTTCACAATGGCTGTTGTTTTCTTAGGTTTCGGCATCTTATTACTCTACGGTTTCTTCAAGGTTCTTTTCCAATTTTTCTAGGAATACAGATAATGTAGCGATTAAAATGAGTGATACGAAGTATAACTCATTTATCTATAAGTATGCAAAGTGGTATTCATTATTGGAAGATGCTTGACAATTGCTTTTTAAATCTTTAATCTCATGAAATACAACTTAATGTGCAGGAAAAAATAGTTTCGATAATTTTATTTTATTAGATAAAATTTTCAAGAACTATCAGAGGTTTTTGCTTCTAGCGTTACACTATAGGTATTAAATTAAAATTATTCAAAATGTATGATACAGTTCTAATTATTTGCTAATATGCTTTTTTTGCCTTAAATTATATAAGGAAGTTAAGAATGAGTACAGAATTCTGAACAAAACAGGTATTGAACTAAATAGATTGATTTTTGGCTAGGCATTAGAAGTTGTTTGTCGCAGTAATCTCTAGCATTTTCCAATAAATATTTAATAGTTATAAATAGAATCATTATTTGACTTACAAATTGTAATGTTTCATTGTCTCGATCAGCAAGGCAATGATCGATCAGTAACTTAATATTAAATAATGTGTGCTTCCAGAGGTATGATGATGTCAAGTTCGACCAATAGGTGCTTCAATTATCTGAAAATCTAATACTGTTTAGTTGATGGATAACTTGTTCTTCCTGCTGGCTGGACTCAGTTCGATTTTCACTGCACTATTATACATGATCAGTGGAATTGTTGCTGTTGGTTTATTACGACAAAATAATGTGGATATTGAAAAAGCACCAAAACAGATCTCTTGCACTGCAAAAGATGACCTTAATGTAAGATTATTTTTCCAGTACAAATGCAATGATTCATGATAAAGCTATGTACAACGCAAATATATATGCTGTTCAAACAAAACAACTTCTCTTTGTTAATTTAAATGATTTAACTTAATCATGTTACTTCTCCATAGCGCTAGGCAGGTTCGAATATAAAAGATTCGGAGAAAGTTGCAATCTCTACAACATTTCCAACTGTAGATGATTCGGTAAGATTTACATTTAAATTTTACAAAAATCATTAATAATAAGGTGAAATTTATCGATTCATTATCCTTTAATATGAAATAATTTAAGCAAAGTGCCAAATGTATTAAAGAATGTTTCACTTGCGCTCCTGAGCTTGCAAAGTTAAATTTTTGGGAAATAATCATCAAAAAGATCTGGTCCACTGTTTTGCATCCTATTTTAAACATATTGTCTTAGTCAAATTCCATATGTTCTAATGATGGGCCGAAAGGTTTCATTAGATACTGATTGATTATTAAGCTATATCATTTCTGAGATGATTTTGACGCGAGTGAATATTTTCCAGCTTGCGTTTGCATCTGTTCAAAAGAAAGTCAGCAATGAACTTGTCGTAGAAGTGCTCTTATTTTATGTAAATTCTAAACTTTCATAAATTTTAACGATGGAGAGAGCTTTTGAAAACGGAGCACGTCAATTTCTAATGTATTGTTGATTTCCCATTTTTGTTTGAGACATCTGAGTAAGCAAACATTTATTTAAATCAGTAGTGTCATCTAACTCATACTGATTTTCAAAAGTGAAAAATAACTGTTATTATTTTATTAATTCCAGTTCTGATATTATTTGTAAGCATCATAGAACAAACTGTGTTAGAATACCTTAGAAATAATGTACCATTTTCAAACCTGTTTTTTACTTTACTGAAAAAACCCTCTTTAATTAAATGTCCTCGGAAACACTACAAAGTTTTATTCGATTTGTTGGATTTTATTCCAACATAGTGTAGAATGAGGACTTATTCGATAAAATTTGATTAAGAAAATAGGTCAGCACTTTATAATACACTCTACAACTCGAGGATTTAAGTTCGCAGATATACTTTAGCTTCGGTTCAGTTCGAATTAGTTGCAATTTGGAGTTTGAATTTGGATCGAGTTAAACACATTTTCATATTGTCATTTTTTTATTACAGTGTTTTCCAATATCAGTGATAAATGAACAGCACGGTAAAATAGTGCAACAAACTGAAGAATTGGAAGAGAAACCGATATTATCGATTAAAAATACTTCAGCCAAATTAATAAATAATCAAAATGCAAGTTACCATCTATTATCTTATGAGACCCAAAGAAATGTAACTTATAAAAGCTTTTTTTGAATTTTCTTTCTCCATGTTCGCACCTCTTCCTGAAATGAAAACCACGTAATCCTGGTTAGGATTTCGTTAAACTAACTTTTGCGACGAATTTACAGGCAAACGAAGAGCAGGCTTAAACAATATCAAGAAAATAACTGCCCATGATTTTAGCATCTCAAAATACTGTTGTTCCAGGCATCATTTTCTGCTGATCAGCGACCTGAAATAAATCAACAGCATGTAATCGATTATATTGAAGAGGAACTGGACCAAAACTTGGATAATGAAACTAAGAGCCATGACAACAACAGCACGGATTACAACATTAACCATTGCAAAAATCGTAGCAAAAATGATGCTAACAGTGTTGTGACGGTAGGCCCAAAGGAGCGGTATCGATATGCACCAGCTAGAAATAGTAATATCTCAAAATCTAGTGCTCCATGTAATCAGAAACTTCATCAGCGGTCTGCAGGCATTTGGAGTCAAGTGTAAGGTTGCAATGATCGATAACTTATCATTTGCAGTCATGCAAAGAAATTAAATTCCAACTGAATGACAATGGCAATACGTCGAAGTTGTGCATTTAACCGTGGAATATTTTCTCTCGTTTGAGTACATTCGAAATGTAATAATCTGATGATATTGTGTTTCTAGTTCGAGACGTAAGATGACACGGATTCCGTTGATTGTTTCTGCTGAAGCAGAAGACTTTAATGAAAATCATCATATTGAACATTTCAATGCTCATTTCTTGGCTACTCAAAAACATGGTCCATTACTTGTCCACAGGTAACGCGTAAATGTTTCATTGCGATTTCATGTTGATATCAAACCAAATATTTGTTTTTCTGCAGCCTGTTATCTTGAATCTTTATAAATGCCATATGGCGTGGGATTTCACTCTCCACACCTATTTTTTCTTTCTGCAACCAAAAATTTCATATTAGATTCTTTTTTCATTAGTGAAAATATGAAATTAACATAAATTTTATTTTTCGGGTACAATGATAGAATAGCGAATGATACGAAGTCAGACACTACTGTATGTGCTATCCATCCAGTTGAGATATTGCATCGACAGCATCACTGTCCTAGTAAAACTGCTGAGGAATGTGAAATTATTATTCGAAGTCGTTACTCGAAAGGAAAAGATGATAGTTCCAGACACAGTGTCTATGAAAGATCCTTGGATGATGACAGCACATCTGGTAATTATTTGTGGTATATTGGTAGAAGGATTTAGGAATTGATTTCCATGTATGAAGAATAGTATGAAGTTGATAGAATTTGCATTTAAATAAAAGGTTAATGCTATAGTAAGAAAGTTATTTCATGCCATTAACTTCTTACTTAAGTGGATCAATAGAATAATATTAAGTGTAGTAATGAAAGTCCTACTAATTATGTGATTAACCGACGGCTGGTGAACTATTCGCTGAACTCTCTTTGTTTTTGCTTTTAAATATTATTAGACGTATCGGGCATAATTTCAGCTAGGACATAAGGAAAGAAGATGAGAGTTTGTCGAAGAAGTTATCTGAAATTTCCGAAATATGGCACTATTGTACAATTTTAATAAGTTGCAGTACGTCTTCAAGAAAGAATTGATATTGAATATACCAGAAGCTTGGATTAACTCTTCAATAAAGTCCAAGGGGACAGTAACGTTGTAAAGATTAATGATAATAATATTGTAATAAATGTAAAATGAGGGTTGTGAAGGATCAATAGCAGCCTTTTCATACTTTTTGTCATTATGTTTAAACTTTAAATTACAAAGTTACTGAGACTGTTGTTAAACAAAGCATATTGTTCTAGGCTCAATTGTTGAACCAGTTTACTATTACAACAATTCAGTGCAAATGGAGCTAGAGAATCTTGATTTAGCCATTCAGCCGGAGCTGCATCTCGTACAACTACAGGCTCAAAAGATTCCAGATTACAGTTATAGTGGTTCAGATGACTTAAGTTTGCAGCAAATGTCCGTTATACCATCACATAGTTGTGGTCAGCGAGGTACTTTTGTTTTCTACCTTTATCTCTTTTATTTTGTCTTCTTTTGGGTGATCATAGAGTAATTCGGAAGTAAATAACTGATGAGAAATGAGAAATAAAGGGAAATGAAGGAGAATTTCAGGAAATGGTAAAGGAAGTCAGCGTAGATGCTTTTTAAAACATGATTATCGTCGTGGATCAAGAGATATTCAGCATCTATCCTATATCACGCACAAAGAATCAGATGATGAAGACTCACCATCGCCTACTAATTATAGGAATGCTGTCAGGTCCTTATCACTTCTAACCAATGATTCGATTCATCACTTCCTATATTCAAGTGTAAAGGAGGAGAATGGTAAAGGAAGTCAGGTCTGAGGAAAAATCTTTTTAGACATCTTCGAAGAGTCACCTTTAATAACATTCTAATCAGTGTTTACTGTGTGGCTCAAAAACTGCTCAAGTATACATGCCGCTGCTCTCATGTTAATCTTGAGCATTAGTAATCAAGTGCTTCAGGAGTAGGCAAAAGATATCGCAAAAGCGAGAATCGGTAGATCCCTCCTGTATGCCAACGATTGTAACAGCCATCGATTCAGGCCGTGAATCGGACATCATTCGGAAAAACCCCCCGAGACGAACGAATTCAAGAGACAAGAAAATGAGGAATAGAGGTAGTATAAGTTTACAATTCATAATCGCTACTAAAACATTTAAATCTGGGAGTTGGTTTGATTTGTTACCTTGATTATTGTTGGATGTAATATGTTTGAGTTGGGACATTGCAAAATGTCGGCATATGCTTGTTTTGCGTACTTCATTTTCTTGTTTAATCGAGAACTTTTACTACTTGTAATGGAACTTTCAAGGATTTGACGTGGTAATCAGAGCACAAAATGATGGCGAACGTTTCGGAAGTCGACGAAGGACCCTGAGTGCTTCAAACTCTTCGCATAATAAACTTGTTGAAGCTTATCTTGTCACGGAATTCTGACAAAAGATGTAAATATCAATAACATTTGTTCCTTTTTTTTTTTTGTGGTCATTGATAAGCCCTGCAAAGATCTGTATTGGAATTAAAGCTTCAGAAATCCATACTATTCAATCATTTTTCAATATGCATCTGCCTCTTCTTGAAGCTATATGCTATTTCTAGAATTTTGGTGCACTAACGGAGACTCGAGATAAAAAATACAGCAAAAAAATTAACTCACACGAATTTTAATTTAAAACTGCGTAAAACTGAGTCGATTCAGAGCTGGAATTCTTTTACCGGAACTGAGTTCAGTTGTACGGTTGACAGTTGTCATTCCAGTCTTGCAAAAACTACTGTTTTCAGTCTGGAAAACAGTAGTGTACAGTCCTGTGCTTCATTGACATCGGATGTTACCACTAAATGATTAACACAGCTGGCGACAGGTAGTTTAATTCTTGACCAATCATATTATGAAGTTGGTCTCTCTCGATCGGAATTTTATCACTTGCATCAGATCGCATAGGTATTTCACGACTATTGCTCTTCCCTCATTATCAATTCTAATGACTCATATACCTAAAAGTTTTGCCATCTCCAGTATTCTCCAGCTCTTCCCGTAGGCACAAGGAAATAGTATCTCAAGAGATTGTGCAGAACTGAATGTGTACTACCAGGTCACGCCCTCCACCTGTCACTATTTATATCAGTCCACTGTATCTTTACCTCCTTTCGAAATAGCGCTTTGAGACGTGCAGTTGTCATAAGCATCTTGCGGACCTAATCGATATTGGTTATTTTAGGGAGAATTACCTGAGGGAGTGTGGCGTTTTGTGGAGGAGTGCGGCGGCTTTGCTTTTTCTTGCTCAAGGTTTTGTGGTTCGAGCGGTCGGTGGTGTGATATTGTCCTTGGATTATCCATTCAAGTTTCAAAAATTTCATTTATTTGTCTGGAAAATCAGTGAACGTGAGAGGGGTTCTAGTGCTAAACAGCAGTTGAGGATGTAGGAGAGTGAGAATTGAAAGAATTAAGAATAAGATGAAAGGTCATTAACATAATGGGTAGTGAAAATTTTCTTATGTCAGTTCAGTCAGTACTTCAGTTTAAGGTTGAAGCTGAGGAGTAAATTTGGGTTGCAACCAGTCGTTTTTATCAAGGCTCTTTCCATCTCTCTACATGAATTTGTGTTGAATGAAGACTATTTTCACATTGTAGATTGTGTTAAGGCAGTGGGTGTGCCAGCCAGCTAAGTTGAGAAAAGAAAGCTCTATCTATTGGTATAAAAATCAGGATCAGTATCAGGCAGGCATTCAGGCAAGAATCAGGAATCAGTGAGAGAGACATTGTTGTACTTCTACTACTGACTTGTTGTGAGGGGATCTCGATAACTTCACTTAATCACTATCAGAGAGACAGTCAGTGTTAAGAGAGTGACACAAAACAGACACAGATACGATGGTGAAGACTGAAGAAAACGGAGTAAGGCTTTTACTAATTTAGCATTTACTTTCTAGTCTTTTCCTTTTACTCTCGCATATCTGTTGACTTTTCTTGTTTACATGTTTATTGTTACTAATTTGGCTTAATGAGCCAGAGTAAAGCGAGCAGGCAGTTAACATGGAGAGAATCACAGCTATGAAGCAACAGGCAGGCAAATATCAAGGAATGTGTCTACATTATTTTTTAAGCTACCTAAGATTCATTATTAAACAGGACTCAAGATAAGCCTCCAGGATTAATCAAGGTTCAGGATGAGAGTAAGTTCACTCTATAACCAGGTAAAAGTGCAGTATAAGATCAGGTAGCGTATAAGCACCCATTTTTCAGCTTTTAAAAAAAAAAATTACTTCTGCGAATCTGAGGCTATGTTAGTTCCGGCAATAGTGATTCGTACCGATGGTAAAAGTTATCGTTTCTTCAAGTGGGTGAAATCATGAAACAATATTTTTGGTGAACACGCCAAAGATTTGGAACTTTTAACATGGTTCGATAAACGAATACGGAGTTCAATTGCCGATTGTTCTAATTTTGTAAAGGTCAATTTAATAGATTCCATTAAGGATGCGGCTGGTGGAAACCTCGAACCAGAACAGTATCGAAAGATGTTTATTGGTGGACTTACAAGTTCTACCACCGATGAAACACTTAAAGAATTTTATTCAAAATGGGGTACTTTGGTGGACTGCGTTGTCATGCGTGACCCAGCAACAAAGCGATCACGTGGTTTCGGATTTGTAAGCTTCTCGAAGCAATCAGAAGTATGGTTCAGTTATCTTCCGAAGCATTTCTTGATACAATGGAACTGACACAAAATAGAAGTCCAAAATATTCCATTTAATTTAAAAAATTAGTTCCATTAATTTGCCCTTTCATAACTTTATTCCTGTGCGATCATGGTATAACTCATTTCTGATATTGGTGGATGGAAGTATTAGTTGTTGAGACTTGTCACATTGTCAGTGTATTTTATTCAGGGAGCTGCTAACTTTATTTGGAAACGATAAGGAGTTAAATAGCTCTATAAAACATGTGGATGCTTCAGTTAAATGTGATAATGAATAGCTGTGAATTCTTTTAATCGCTGCAATATATTCCAAGGAAATAGTTCATACTGGTTCATATATCGTGACTTTCTAAATGGAAAATATTTCAGTTAGTTTGGTGTAAGATGGTTCTAGTAGTGCGAATTAGCTCAGAGAACTGAAATTTGTTTAGGTAGATGCAGCTATGGCAAATCGGCCACATATCATTGACGGTAAAACTGTCGATCCTAAACGAGCGGTCCCACGCGAACAGTCGCAGCGAAGTGAAGCCAATATCTCTTCTAAGAGACTCTATGTATCTGGCGTGAGGGAAGAACACACGGAAGATATGTTCAAGGAACATTTTGGGAAATACGGCAACATTTTGAAGGTTTATTTCTTTTATATTTTGAAATTGTTATCATACGTAGTATAATTGATGAAAACTATTTTGAATATCTTGGAATTTCTTATTCCAGTGTATTTCATACCTTGTGTTGTGGCCGTATTTTGTTCTATGTTAGTCTTAATTGATTTAAATTCAAAGTTCATATTTGAGGCGTTTTCATTTTAGAAGTGTGATTTGAGCATTTGAATGCTATGGCTGCAAATTTATTGTGTAAATTTAAAGATTTTGATGCGGCCGTGATTAGATTAATCAAAACTATCTCAGAATTCGTACGGGTAAAGTCGATATTTATGATAATCTTACTTTTATCACTGGAATCAATAAGAAATAGGAATTTCTTGTTAGTTGCTAATTTTCTCAAATGGTCGGTAGTGGTAATTTTTCTAGTATTGCAGTGTGAAATAATTGCGGACAAAAACACTGGGAAACCGAGGGGATTTGCTTTCATAACGTTTGATGACTATGACGCGGTCGACAAATGTGTTTTAATCAAAAGCCATATGATTAACAATTATCGTTGTGATGTAAAAAAGGCACTCAGTAAGGAGGAAATGGCAAAGGTATTTTTCTTAGTTTGGAATTTTTAACAATAAGCCATGTTTGTCTTGACTGTTTTATTTCTTGTTTTTGGTTGTTGCTACTCCCTTGAATATCTTATCTGCTACTGTAAATACAAGAGAAATTTTAACATATTTTTGAAAAAATTAGTGGGATGTGTTATAATTTTTTATATTCATCATTACTTTTAAACTGTTATCGACACAGCTTACGAACATGACCTATAAGTCTGGGCACCAAAATTTGCGAAATAGTCCCTGGTATCACCGGGTTGGATTTGGTACTAAAATATATGTACAGGTTCAACAACAGGAACGTGAGCGAATGGATCGAGGAGCACGCTCTCGAGGGCCACCAATGGGACGTGGAGGTGGTGGATGGGGTCCCGCTGGAGACAGAGGTGGTTATGGTGGACAACCGTGGGGCGCTGGTCCTGGTGGACCTGGTGGTTACGGAGCAGGTGGCGGTGGTCAGTGGGGACCGTCAGGTAAATAAGTTCTGTAAAGAACTTTATATTAGTTTTAATGTTTTGGTTGCTTTTCAAAGGTATAGAAATACAGTTTCACGATTTGTTATTGTTAGAATAGCTTACTCAAGTTTTGCTTTGTAGGAGGTGGCTACGGAGGAGGTTATGGTGGTGGCTACGGTGGTGCACCCGGTGGTGGTCGTGAGTTCTGTGTATTATCAATTTATTTTTCCAAAAATAATATCCATTCCTTTATTTAGTTGGTCAATACTAATTTCTTTCCCAAATAGAGCATCTCTTGGTAGGTGTAGTTATGTTACATACAAGTTCCTCCTACTTAATACGAATTTCCATTAAATCAACTAACTGTTTATTGAGCTGGTATTTGACCTGCCGGTTTCTCATTAAAGGAAGCGTGCATTTCGACACACAGACCATTTATATTCCTAATAAGTGATGGTTTTTGTACTCTAAAACTTTTTTATCCAAAAAATTTTTAATTTAAAATTTCAGGGGGATGGGGCGGTGAAGGCAGTGGTGGTTGGGGAGGTCCACCATCGCAGGGTGGATGGGGCGCACCATCCGGCGGTGCAGGTGGGGATTAATCCCAGATTATTTTGTTTTTTCAAATTAGTTAGAATTAACTTTACTTGCTTCCATATGGTCTTGCATCATTTTGAAATATTGAAGATCGTTTCTGCACTCATCTTTGGCTGATACAGCTTTGCTGATTGGGAATCATTTCTTGAAAAATTTCTTGCTTTAATACTTATGTGTTTCAGGCGCAGGATGGGGACAAGGTGGTGGACAAGGAGGTTGGGGCACTGGCGGACAAGGTGCTGCGCAATCATGGGGTGGATCAGGCGGTCAAAGTGGAGGCGGAGGCTGGGGTGGTCGAGGATATTAAGAATGTGGATTAAACGAACATGCAGCACACATCTTTTCGCTGCTGATACTTTTTTTCATGATTTTTCCAACGATCTCAGTAGGTGGTCCTGAAATGCTGACTTTAAGCCATTTCAAGTTCTTTATTTCAATTCTTTACAACTTTGCTGTGTTTTAGTTTGCTGTGCCTCCCACTTTTTCTAAGAAAGTTGTGAAAATGTTGAGATGTTGGGAAAAGTATAGTGCTCTTCCTCTCGAACTGCTGATAGTTACATGCATTTTCGCATTTTTTTGTATTACCTGTAGGCTTAGCAGTTTTTTCTAAAATCTTGTGATTATTTTTTGTTGCTGAAATTCATATAATTTTTACAGTCTTTTGTAGTTCCGGCGTGTTCACATTGTCTGTCTCAATTTTTTATTACTGTAATTGTTGTTTCGGTTGCTTTTTTCTTCAATGTGAAGCACTGTATAGTATAAAAGTTCGATATGATTTTGTACTTGTTGTTCTTGTTACTATTGGATGTTGAGAAAGTTTCACACCGATCAGTATTTATCTTAGAATTGCAATGGTGATCTTCGCAGCTATGTTGGTTGATGTGTTCGTACGCTTATTTGGCCCTCTGTTCTGGTAATAGGTCTGAGTTCGGTCATCGACCTGATGTGTTCGTACGCTTGGAAAAAAAAAGTGTGGCTGGATCGGTTCTGAATTCTGAGTTCGGTTTGAATTGATTGATTGTCTTGGCGGGTTTTCATCTTTAATTTATTTGTAGGAGTTCTGTGGTTGAATTAAAGTGCTATTTCACAAGACGCGTCACGCCGAAGAGAGCAAGGTTGGTTTTGGAGTTATATGTTGGTTGGGGCGTCATGTGAAGAGAGAAGGAGGAGGTGGGATACCCTCATTGTATGTTTCTGGGGGGGAGGGAGAGGGAGGGGGGTAGTACTGTGAATTATGTGATTGGTAGAATTTTTTTAAAAAACTAGCAAATATTGTTTACTTTTAATTCTAGACCCTTTTCAGGTAAGGAAAGACTAGATCTATTTTTAGCACTTTTCTCTCACTTTATAAATATTGTGGAATCTGCTTCACTTTTAAAAGATGGTAAGCTATGGTACTTCTGAATACTTAACAAAGCGTTACGATTTGTTTGGTCTCATATACTGATTGGTATTATATACCTTTAGATATTGCTGTGAGATCAGTTATCAGTGACATACAGTATTTTGTGAGAAATCAGCCTATATATACGTCATTTGGTACAACCAGTGTATGTACTTTACGTGATCAAAGAGGGAGTATACTACTACTACTATTACTACTACTACTACTACTACTACCTCTACTATCACTACTGTCGAGACTTAGAAACAAAGAGAACGATGGTGAAGACTGAAGATGGTGTAAGACTTTACTTTAGTTTTGTTTATCGGGAGGAGAGTTAAAGGTACGAGCAAGAACAGGTAAGGCACGTCCACTAAGGTGAGATGTAATCCCCCTTTGTCATACTCTTACTGCCGGTGGCTATCTGTGATACTTGTTTTTGCTGTGAAAGAAACAAAAATGGTTCAAACTGATGAAATTAGTAAACAAAGCTGTAGATAATAAAGCTGTATTTTTTAAAAGCTCAAGTTTCTAAAGTTGAAGTTCAAACAACTTAAACAGTTAAAACAGGTGCTGCATGTATCCATCCTGTGCTTCCTGTCTTGAAACATCAATGTCTCTTTACTATTGTGTTGGGTGCTGCGAGGTTAGTTGAATGCAATATTTTTTAAAAGTATTTTCTGTACCATTTAGGGCGATGGACTTGAACCAGAACAGTTTCGGAAGATGTTTATTGGTGGTTTGTCAGCAACAACGACTGATGAAGCACTCAAAGAGTTCTACTCTCAGTGGGGTGAGTTAGTGGATTGCATTGTGATGAGAGATCCAGCAACGAAGCGTTCACGAGGCTTTGGATTTGTCAGCTTTTCTAAGCAATCTGAGGCAAGCTTTTTGCCATTAAAAATTCAGATTTTCCTTTAGGTTTTTGTACAAAAAAGTTTTAAAACAGCTTTTTTCTTTTTTTATGAAATAGTTGAATTAGGTGGTTGTATGGTATTTTGCTGTGCTATGAACAAAATTAAGTATTTCAGGTTGATGCTGCAATGGCGGCTAGACCGCACGTAATTGATGGGAAAACAGTAGATCCAAAACGGGCTGTACCGCGTGATCAGTCAGCTCGTAGCGAAGCAAATGTTTCCTCTAAACGACTGTATGTTTCTGGTGTTCGTGAAGAGCATACCGAACAAATGTTTGAGGATTATTTTAGTCAGTTTGGCAAAGTACTGAAGGTAATTCTAGTTCACTTTCAAAGAGTATATATATAATTGGAATTTCGTCAGTGGGTTCTAGCATCGGTTATAGAACTATTAGGTAACTGTGACTAATCAAAAATATTTGGTGTTTCTAAGAAATAATTTATTTAAAAATATGAAAAAAGAATAAATAAATTGAGCTGTTTGCCACCGTAAATTTATTTCTTGCTTCTATATCAGTGTTGCAGGTAGAAATTATAGCTGACAAGAATACTGGGAAACCAAGAGGATTCGCTTTCATCTCCTTCGATGATTACGACCCGGTTGATAAATGTGTGTTGCAAAAAAGTCATCAAATTCATAATTATCGTTGCGATGTCAAGAAAGCTTTAAGCAAAGAAGAAATGGCAAAGGTTGAGTTGATACTTTTCTGTTTAAATAAGTTATCTTTTTAAACGACAGATTTCTGTAGGCTCAGCAACTAGATCGAGAACGCACGGAGAGAATGGGACGATCACGAGGTACAATGAGACCTGATCGTTATGGTGGCGGACCGGGAGGCTATGGTGGAGCATGGGGTGGACCCGGTGGTCCTCCTAGTGGTCAGTGGGGACCACCTTCTGGAGGTAATATTAGTTTTTAGTTTAGAAATAGGCTCTAAGTATATGCGAACTTTATTATCATTTTTGCAGCCTTGCCAAACTTAATTTTTTATTTACCTATGATATTTTATAGGTGGTGGCGGTTATGGCGGAGGCTACGGAGGTTATGGTACTTCAGCTGGAGGTTTGTTTTGTTTTTTCCTTGAGAGGAAATATTCATATTTCTACGTATACCTTTCGGTTTTCCAGGATCAGTAATTTTACAGATTATTTACGAAATCTTTAGGATGGGGTCCAAGTGGAGATGCTCCAGGTAGCTGGGGTACTGCAGCTCAAGGTGCTTGGAACGGTTCACAATCTGCATCCTCAGGTGTGTTTTTGTAGTTCTAGTAATTGTTTGTATTTTTGAAGTTAACAGAAGATTTGAAAGGTGCTGACAGCCAGCTTTCTTATAATCAGAAGTCCTGAACAATCTGCTTAGTTATGAAATAATCAGCTACTATTCATCTTATCTTGGTTTCATTGACACCTTTTTTATTCACCAAGTTTTTGTCATAATTTTTTACAGGTTGGAACGGCAGCGGCAGTGGAGGACAGGGTGGTTGGCAGGGAAGTGGTGGTAATGGGCAACAGTGGGGCGGATCTTCTGGAAATTCAGGTCACGCCGGTTGGGGTGGTCGCTCATACTGAAGTCTACCTAACCCGAATGTTCCGTGTTGTTTTGTTTCATCTTGTTGTATTGTTAAGTGCAATGGTATTTTCTATAGTAGCTTATTTATAATTGTACCATTTCAACCGAACATTATTGCACTTACATAATTTTTTTTTTTTTTGATATCGTATTAATTAAAGTTTTTAAGCAATTTTCCCAAAATCGCAAATTTTTCATTCACCTTAATATTTAGTTTGTTTGGTTGAAGGATGCTTAGCGAAAATTATGAATGTTTGAAAGCAGTACATACAATTTTAAGAGAATTTAGCAGATTTTCTATGTGATAGAAAATTCCCTGTTCAAACGGATTAATTTAAAATGATTATGCAAAATGCGCTGTTTTTGGGCATGTCAGTGCTGTATTTTCTGTTATTATTGACTGATATGATGTATGTTTCGGGACTGATTCGGAAATAGTTTTCGAAGAATAAAGTGGTCGTAAGTATTCTAACATTATGATTATTTTACGTGGAAGTTGCCATTTGTAATTTTGCTTGCCTGCTATGTGTACTAGCATCTATAAATACGTGAGCGTAAGACGGGACATGGAAAGAAAGGAACTGTGCTTTTTTTTAATTGGATGAAGTTTGCGGTGTCCTGTATTAGGAGATTGAGTTCTTTGGAATATAGTTTTTGCGCTGTCTTAATGGTACTATTGCTAGTGCGGCGGTGCTTCAAGTTTTTGTGTTAAGATAAGGCAGCATTTGAATCTAGGTTATGGACATCGAGCTGTTTTCCGTGTCGAAGTTCTTTGTTCCTTAGCCGAAAGACAAAACACAAGTTTATGGGTGTTACTTGGATGCTTAGAAATGACGTTTAAGGTGAGGAATTAAGGACTGTTTTTCGAAATTGCAGTTGCGGTGGATTATTTAAGATGTCTCGGGTTGAGGAGAAGTTGAGGTTGTGTTTTGAAAATGGTAACTGTTATGAGGCACATCAGATTTATCGCACATTGTACAATCGATTGTCTAACCAAGGGAAATGGCAAGAGTTACAGGATATGCTCTTCAGTGGTATATTACGACTTCTAGCAGGTTAATCTGTCATCATAGAGTTCGGCTATCTAATATTTCTCGAAATTGAGGATCGGCAAATTTTATTAATACTTCATGCATACTTCTGTTTTCTTAACACGGACTGTTCTTGTAATCAATGTATTTCTTTTAATTCATGTTATATTACAGAAAGAGAAGCAGCAAGTGCAATCGATCTTGCCGAACTATTTGTAGGGGCTTTGGAGAAGTCGAAAACACCTGTCTCTTCAGTTGTTTTAGATCGTTTCGATCAAGTTGGTTTACATGCTTATTTTATTCTTGATGAGTATAAAAAGGGATAATTTAAAAGGGATAATTTAACATATACTGAACTATTTTAGGACATCAAGATGCATACACTTTTCTTGTTCTTCTATGTTTA